ATTTTCTTTTTTGTTTAAACTATTTTTGAAAACCTAACAATATTTCTTTATTATTTCTGTTTATAAATAAATAAAATCCTTATATATGCCTCGATAAAGTCCATCAGAGGACGAAACGGGTTGGTAAAGAAAAGTTTTCCTTTTCTCTAAGTTGAATACTTAGGCGGGGTAGAATTCAGTGGAAAACAGTTTCAGAAATAATTGAACTGTACAGAAGATAAAATATCCCCTAGACATGGTCAACTCAGCGAAACAATCTCCGCTCCCCGATTAAGTAAATGTTACTCGGATTGGCAAACACATGTAAAAGACCAGAGGGCACAATGGCCAAAGCTTTGAGATACTAGCAACAAAGTTGAGAAGAGTATGTCTATAAATACTTCAAATAATGACAACTCCACGTCCCAGAAATTCTGACAATCATTCTAAACGTGAACGTTGGGAACTCTCAAGTGTGTGTGTGTGTGGGGGGGGGCAGTATGTGTTCAGTGGCATTATGATAGACAATAGGATTTGATTTCAATCATTGAAACTAGATTAAGCATTTCATATGCGCATTTATCTCTTTTGCCTGCATATTCACAATTTTAGAATTTTGAAGCAATTGCATTGTGTATAGAATAAAAACCTGCATAGCTGACAGCAACGATGTTACAGCATGGAGACCAACACTTGACTATTCCCGCCATAGCTTACTTCCGGTGATTGGTATTATTATAACGCAGTGGAGCAGGTGACATTAAGTCGCCACTATTGACCAATGCAATTTTGACAGAAGGGGTACCAACTTTGAAACGGGGGGCAAGAGATGCAAAGGTTAAGAGAAGATGATTCTAATAATCTCGAAGGAATGCCGTGCTGTTGGCGCGATCTTTGGAAGGAGAAGGAATATTTTTCAAGCGTACTTTTGGTGGAGAATCTCTTATGTTCCGAGGAGATTTTTTGGTAGAAGCTAAAGCCGAATTGGTTGCGATAAGTGGCAATCAAACTTTTAGCTTTGTATGGAAATATAAAGAGAATAGTTTCGTCCCATTTGCCATCCGTAATTATAGAAGACAATTTGTATTCCAGCAGGTTAACATAGACGTTCAAAATGCTAAGCTAATCAAAGAATGATGTGAAAGGAAAAGACATTACGATTACGGACTGGTTTACAAATTCCCCAAATTAAATTCCCATTGTGCGCCATTCTTTCAAGGTGAGGTTATGATGAAGAAAGGCAATTTTAAAAGATGAATAGTTTAATCTCTTGCATAAAAATTTGTTGGGATAAAATTGCGATGGAAATAAATCTCTTGGAAAATCAATGACAAAAAACAAAGAAGAAAAATGAAGGATTTACATTTAAAAGGGAATATTAACGATTTTTATTACTGTTTATTTTTTTTTAAACTTAATTTGTTTTTGGAGCCACCGATAATGTAACGATTATCGGCGAGCCGAGTTCAATTTCCAACCGATTCTGTTTTGTTAAATTCCCTCTGATTCCCTTTGTAAAGACTTGAATCCACCTTCCCCTGTCAAAGGTTAAATAACAGAGCAGATTGGGAGCTTTTACCAGGGAGTGGAAGCCAATCGAGGAGAAGGAAAAGTTTGAATTCAACACCGTTTGAAGAGGGTTGGCTTCCGTCAGATTATCTTGTCGTAGACACACCATTCTGGCTACAGCTGCAGTACATACAATGCCAATACAAACCCAATGGGTTTCAGGATTAGTGGCGTGACTTGATACTTGTTTTCACCGTTGGAATCTGTGATCTTTCAAAATGTGTATATAATCAGAAACTAAAATTGTTTTTAAAAACGAATTCCCCAACAATCTTTTTTCATACGCAGATATCAATGTGTTAATGGCAAAGACAGAAGAAAAGCTATAAGACCTCTTAGACAAGGTAGTAAAGGAAAGAGCGAAGAAAGGACTGACTATCAATATCAAGAAGACAGAATGTATGATTGCCATCAAGGGCAAAAGCCTAAGAGTTGAGTTAGAATTGGAGATGTCAAAATCAGACAGGCACAGAAGTTTAAATATCTAGGAAGTATAGAAAATATGACGCTGACATTCAAAGGTTATAGAAATAGCGAAAGATGCATTTCAAAAGTTAAGCAAAGTATTAAGAAATAGGAAAATCTTTATAGACCTACATCTGTTGTCTCAAATTTCCGCTTCATCTGCAAAGAAATTCTCCAGAATTCAGTCATATAGAAGGATTGATATTCCATAGCTGTTCAGAATTCTTTTCTCTTTTCCTATCCTGTTTTATAATACTTTGCTTAGCTTTTGAAAGGTATATTTCGTATCCAGTGAACCTCCCAGTTCATATTCTGCAAATATGTATTGTAAGGAGTAATATGCGTCTTATACGCCGAAAAACGTAGCTCGGTTCCAGTACGCGTCACCGAAGTTAAGCAATGTCGAACCTGGTTAGTACCTAAATGGGGGACAGCTTGATGAATACTGGGTGCTGCAAGCTTGGATGTGTTAATTACAATTCCATTTGGGTTCGTTATACAATAATACCTTGAGATACGAGTTTAATTAATGGGAATATTTCCGATCCGTTGCAGGCCCCTTAAAATCACCCTTACTTTTCTTAAAAATCACCCTTACTTTCCTTAAAATCACCCTCATTTTTCTTAAAATCACGTGTTTTGCTAAAAATCACCATTATTTTTCTTAAAAATCACCCTTACTTTCCTAAAAATCACCCTTATTTTTTTAAAAATCACCAGTGTTTTCCTAAAAATCACCCTTATTTTTCTTAAAAGTCACTCTTACTTTCCTAAAAATCACCCTTTATTTTCCAAAAAATCACCCTTATTTTTCTTAAAAATCACCCTAACTTTCCTCAAAACCACTATAATTTTCCTAAAAATCACCCTTATTTTTCTTAAAAATAACCCTTACTTTCCTCAAAACCACCCTTATTTTCCTAAATATGACCCTAAAAATCACCCTTATTCTTTTTTAAATCAACCGTATTTTGCAAAAAATCACCCTAATTTTTCTTAAAAATCGCCCTTACTTTCCTAAAGACCACCCTTTTTTCCTAAAAATCACCCTTATTTTTCTTAAAAATCACCCTTACCTTCCTAAAAATCACCCTAAATATCACCCTTACTTTTTTTTAAATCACCCTTACTTTCCTAGAAAACACCCTTATTTTCCTAAAAATCACCCTGACTTTCCTAAAAACCACCCTTATTTTCCTAAAAATCACCCTTATTTTTCTAAAAATCACCCTTATTTTCCAAAAATCACACTTATTTTTCTTAAAAATCACCCGTTTCTTTAAAATCACCCTTATTTTTCTTAAAAATAACCCTTACTTTCCTAAGAATCACCCTTATTTTCCTAAACCTCCTATTTTTCTAATCGTGGGTCTCTTACAAACAAAAAACGTGTGATGAAACACGAATTGTAGTTTACAAACACTAAAATAAAAAAAAAGCAAATAGTAAAGAAATAGACTGTACTAAATCATGAAATTCACACAGGGAGGTGGGAGAGAGAGAGAGAGAGAGAGAGAGAGACAGAGAGAGAGAATGGTATAACAACAGCTAGCCTAGCAACCGAAAATCTAGCCTAGCAACGGTTAGTCGAATCTATGATACCGAAGAAAACATTTACATTTTATCCATTATTGTAACTAAATTTTGTTTAATTTTTAAAATTTTAAAATTTATTATTTATCATCGATGTAGAACGCTCATACTAAATGAATTTTGCAAAATAACGTCAAAAAGACACCCTAGAAATCCTTCCAGAGCGAGATAAGAACATGTAATGCGAATGGAAATACTCACAAAGTTTGATGTTCGCTGCACCAACTAGAAGATGTTTGACTGAAACTCGCTCGTATCTCAAAATTTAGCTCATATCTCAAGGCAAAAAAAAAAAAAAAAAAAGTCAGCTGAACTAGCTAGTATCTCAAAAAACTCGTATATCGGAACGCTCGTATCTCAAGTCATTATTTATTCACTTACGCGCAAATACCCTTGGGGAAGGTATGAATTGACCTCTTCTCCTCCCAGCTATGGGTTAAATAGTAAGACTCATATGACTGAAACCATTATTATCTCACACACGCCCTCCCCCCAAAAAATGCGTACAAAATATTTAGATTTCGGCATTAAATAACGCATAGAGATTGATAAGTCGGTAAACAAAATCAACAAACGTACTATTAATTTCTCCTTGAGCTAGAAAGAATTGTTTGAATTGTAGAAGTGTGAGAATTCGCCTTAAGATTGCCATATTAATTTTTGTGTTGATGTTATTAATCAAGGAATGCAATCCGCTAGCCATTACTCCACCGTGCCTCTTTAGTTTAATTACATAATCTATTCAAAGAATCTGTAATTATTAAGATAATAATTGATGTTGCATTTAATATTTTTGAAGATCGTAGCTGACAGGAAATCAAAAAAAAAGGGGAAGAGATTTTCCGCAAGTGAGACGTGCAAAAGAAAATACTTACAATAGAACTTATGGTTACATCCAGCAATTTCAATAATAAAATGCTAAGACCTTGCTACATAATCTATTACTACGCATGAAGTCGACGGACCAACCAGTAAAGCTCATCAGAACAATTACCATGAAAATATTTATCGAGAAGACATCGGGATGCTACGTTGCAACGGCGGGAAAACGTTATAAAGTAATTTAATTAACGAGAAATCTAGGCACTTACATTTTACTTCTCACAATTCACATCAGACCGGATATTAAAATAAGATCCATTTCGCTGAAACTGCAAAAATCTGGGAGGCGAAAGAACGAACTAAGACATGTGCACTTAGACATTTTGACGGGAAAAAAGAAACCAAAAGAAAAGTAACCTTTACAGGAAAACAGATGCGACTTGACAACTTAAATAATGTGATTACATCAGCAATATCGTTAACTAAAAGTTGAAAAAATAATTCTTACTGAGTGTTTGATGGTAAAATAAAAAAAAAATTGAAAAGCAACAGAAGTTAAAAGAACTTTGCATTTAGGACAAAAATTGATCAGTTAAGAATAGCGCGTGTGTGATAAAGATATATATATATATATATATATATATATATATATATATAGATAGATAGATAGATAGATAGATAGATAGGTAGATAGAGAGGAGTAAAATAAGGAAGAAAGCAAAAGGAGAGTGGATGAATAAGAAAAAGAAGAGTTGAAAGAGGTGAGGAAAAAGAAGGAGTAAGAGAAAAATGAAAGAGAGGAAAAGAGAGAAAAAAGAGAGACAGCGAGAAAGAGAGAGAGAGAGAGAGAGAGAGAGAGAGAAGGAAGAAAGCAAAAAAACAGCAGGAAGAAGAAAGAGAAGGTTAGAAAGAGGGAAGGAAAAAAGAAAAATAAGAGAAAGAGGAAGGAAAAAAGAAAAATAAGAGAAAGAGGAAAGAAAAAGAAAAAGAAAAAAAGACAGAGAAAAAGAAGAGAGAGAGAGAGAGAGAATGAATAAGTAGAGAGTAGAAGGAAAGCGGGGGAGAAGGAAAATTAATAAGAGAGAGAAGGCTAATAAAAGTATGGAGGAAAGAAGGTAAGTAAGAGAAAAGGAAAGAAGAGCGAGAAAAAAGTGAGAGAAAAAGAAGAAATCAAAAGGAGAGAGGGAAGAAGAAAAATAAGAAAGGAAGTTACAAAGGGGGAATGATAGAAAAAAGTAAGAGAAAAAGAATAAAAGAAGAGTGAGTGAGTGAGTGAGTGAGTGAGTGAGTGAGTGAGTGAGTGAGGAGGAAGATGAAAAACGAGTGACAAAAATAAAAAAAAAATAGAGAAAGAAAAAAAGGTAACTAAAAGAGAAAAAGACGAAGGGAAATAGGAGAGAAAAAAAAGAAAGTCAAGTAAGAAAATAAAAAAAAGAAAAGAAAAGGAGGAAATGAAAAACGGGAAAAAGGAATGAAGAAAAAAAATCGTGATAAGGAGTAGTAGAAAGTAGAGATAGAAAAGAAGAGGGAAAATAGACGAAAAAAATAGAAAATGAAAAAGAAAAAAAAAAGAAGAACGAGAAGAAAATATAAGAGAAAGTGAAGAAGAAAAATATAAGAGAATGAGAAGACAACACAGAGAAAAGAAAGGAGAAATGTAACAGAAAGAACAGTAAAGAAAGAGACAAAAGAAAAGAAGAAAAGATAAAATAGAAAAAAAGAAAGTGTGTGAAGGCTATAACATTTAAAATTTATATATATATCTTTTGTTTTTCTTAATCGTGTTCACCCCAAGCAAGGCACTAAAGCCACAAAGACGCAAAGAGTTACTGGGTTAGAAGAGTTAAAAACAGGAACATTGCTAAGGCGCGAGAACAGAGGCAGAGTAATCATAAGGACAGCAGATAGCGATTGAGATTGCATTTAAATTTTGGCAGATTAAAATTGGCTGGAAAGAGTTCCACAAGCGAGATATGTGAGAAAAGAAACTGTCAGTATAGAATTTACGGTCACATTTAGCTCACTCAACTGTAAATTGGTGAGACCTTGCCGCCAGTCTAGTACTGAACTTAAATTCGAAAAGTCGAGGCACCATAGCAAAGAGCTCATACAAACAATTACCATGAAAGTATTTGTAGAAAAGGTGAGGCAACCTTACAGCGGTGGGAAAGTGACTGAAATCGAGATGCCATATCAGCACCAATAATATTGATGATTCTTCTTTGAATTTTATCAAGAAGCTCTAGATATTTAGCAGGAGCACCGGACCAAATGCGGCAGTAATATTGTAAGCATTGACGAATGATTGACTTATAGATTCCATTTCTTTTCGTTTCTTAACACGTAATGTGTATTGCCCCAAAATGTCAACGTTTTCGCTATTTTACCAGTTAAGTGCTAAACGATGGTAATTAATTAACATTCCCCTTTTGAAATTGACACCATAGCATCATTTTATCCTCCGCCTACTATTGTCACGATTTATTCTTTAACATACAGAATTGTGGCATAAGGACGGGCCCCGCCTACTATTGTCTTATATCTGCTTTTCAGCGATGCTATATACTCTCAGAATTTCTCATTGTTCCATATTTAACCTACATACGAGATCAAAAGAAAGTTGTCAGTGAAAGTATTGATGATTAGTATGTTTTCAAATGCTACATGATACATATAATACTTGGATTGACAAGAACAGAAGATTTGAGATTAGAAAATGCTTTGTTATCTTCAATTCTGGGTGATGCTCAACAGATTTCTTTCATATCTGTCTATATTTCTGAGATGAGGTATTATTTATTCATTGTTCGGACTATCATCCTCATCTTTGTTGCCATATTTATCACAACGTTTCGGCCGTTGTACACTCCAGCCTTCTTCTTCAGGTCGTTGGAATGTCGAACTGTACCCTTTATTTCTTTCGCTGGGTTAGACTGTTCTAGTTCCACGTGCCATGTCTAATGGATGTCAGTTATCAGTTATCTCTTGTTAATTCCCCTCTCCAAGTTCTCCACTGCCTTAACCAGATATAGAACTCACACTGCCAATGGATCTTACCAACGCCTTTATCCACTGCCTTTTTCCATGAATAGTTCAGTTCGACATTCCAAACACCTCAAACTTCTATATAGTTCGGGTCTTGATGTGTTCCTTTTACTGACGACCATACGTTCTGGCTTCTAACATTATTTACATTATTCAGACTATTGTCTTCATCTTTTTCGCCATATTTATTACAACGTTTCGGCTGTTGTACGCACCGGGCTTCTTCAGGTGATTGAAATGTCGAACTGAACCATTTATTTCGCTCGCTGGGGTAGACTGTTCTAGTTCCACGTGCCATGTCTAATGGATGTCAGTTATCAGTTATCTCCTGTTAATTCCCCTCTCCAAGTACTCCACCGCCTTAACCAGGTATTGAACTCTCACTCTTTGGGTCCTGTCATTGGATCTAACTAACGCCTTTATCCACTGTGCGAAACGTTGTGATAAATATGGAAACAAAGATGAGGATGATAGTCCGAACAATGTAAATAGATTTCTTTGATTGTTTGAAAAAAAAAAAAGAGACTATCTTTAAAATGTTTTCTAAGACAATTTTCATACAGGATAGTTACTTACTTATATACTTACCTCCACGTTTTTAGCAACAGTGCGCCGTAGGATATGGAAAAACCAATTTCTCGGAACCAAAATCGCAGACAGCAAGTTAGGACAGAAGCTTCAAAGTACCCTACAATTTGCTGAGAAAACAACAAAGATATTATTCAATACGATATCAATATACACAGAAATATTAAATTAAAAAAACAAAACGATTTCTTGCATTTTTCTGGATATAAAGCATCTTGGTCATGGCAATAAACTTCATCTGGTAGAAGTTTTCAGGAACGTGGAATTATTTCTTAACTACTGCTGTTCCCAGGTCCACCCTGACTCAGAGTGATAGCACTTGTTAGGTGGGGGTCACAGCTAAGGGTAAATAGTGAAGCCCCAAACAAAAATAAACAGTACATTTTTTATAGCAAAATGACAATCAATGCAACACTAAAAAAAATATAAAAATACATTTTTATAGTAAAATTACCAAAATATTCATTGTTGATATCGATTTGGTTGATTTTGTTTATATCAATCACTATGGGTTATTTAATATTGAAATCTAAATATCCCACACGCATTTTGATGCTTTCAACTACAGATACAGATAAATAATATATTTTAATAGAAAACAGGCGACAGTCTGTTTCATGCTAGATGCAATCGTCAGGCCACGAGTGCTGTTATCAAATCAACTATATATATCTATATATACACTACAACAATCAACCCCAAAATTGAATATATATCAGAGATATATATAAAAGTGAACGTTGAAGTCAACACTCAGAGTCGACAGGCTGACAATTGCGTCTAGCATGAAACAGCCTGTACAGGCTATTTCATGCTAGACGCAATTGTCAGGCCCTCTGATTGTATGAAACAGCCTGTCGCCTCTGAGTGTTGACTTCAACGTTCACTTATATATATATATATATATATATATATATATATATATATATATATATATATATATATATATATATATATTTTAGACGTATATTTACATATGCTCTATCTCTGATATTGAGTACTTTATCCATAAATATAGAACACCTTAAAACTATATATATATATATATATATATATATATATATATATATATATATATATATATATATATATATATATACTTGAAGTGTTGATTCTGTTTTATATGGGTACTGACATGTATACGGGCATGTATTCACATTTTTGTATATGATCATTTATGTGAATAATAATAATAATAATAATAATAATTTGAAATTGTGATGATTATAATACGATGATGTCTCCTTTGCTATCGAAAATGACATGACTGTTAGATACATTAATGGATCTATTTTTCGTCTGATCAACCCCTCTCTTAACCTGTATTTTAACTTATTCAGCCTTTAAAGAAAAATCATTTCTTAATCTCCTTATTGGCTAATGTTTAATTCTTCTTTCTTTTCTTTCCCTCCCTCCTTCACATATTCTCCTCCCCGCCTCTCTCTCTATATCAGTGAACATTGAAGTCAACACAGTCTGTTCTTATCTAGACGCTCAATAACCTTCTTATAAGATTATAGCATCAAAAATACTTGCTATTGACACCGAGTAGACGGATGTATCATTACCGAGATGGAGATGAGCATTCACTAGAGTACTTGAAAATCGGGCAAAAGTATAACAGTTTCCTCGGTCTTGGGGAGGATTTCTCCTTCAAGCAGCGGTTAAATAACTTCGCTAAGATCGCGGACGACCACAGGGATTTTGTCTGGCCCAGTGGCTTTCTTAGTGTCAAGGCATTTCATAAGACTTGAGACTTCTTTTGCTCTACGGAAAATATTACTGAGACTATGCTCAGTGAGACGTGGGATATAGTGGATGGCCTTTGTCATCTAACATAGATTTAAGGCAAAAATCGAGTCGAAGGACTTCGCCTTACCTGTCGACTAAGATATGGACTCGGGGCCATTTATAATAGTGGGCACAGTCGCTTTAATTTACTTCTCCCCCCCATTGACTCGCTCTCTCTCTCTCTATATATATATATATATAGATATATATATAAGAAATATGTTGTAGTGGTTCCAACGAGAGAAAAGTATGTATATTAAAAAGAAGAGAAGAGAGGTGCCGCTAACGTTTTTGGTTGTAATGTGGATTTATTTAGAAAAAATATTATGCTTTGTTTTACATAATTTTACGACACGTGTTTCTGGTCTCGTGACCGTCTTCAGGTAAAAGTGGAGATTTCTACATATTATTAAAAATAATTAAATTTTCTTCATGTTCAATGTGAAATATTCTCGATATGAGACATTCTCTGTTTGTGTGTTGGTAATCCGAATTTCTTTCTAGAATTTTAAACGTTATATATATATATATATATATATATATATATATATTTAAGCGTTTTACCCCAAGCAAGGCGGGAAGCCACTAGGACGCAAGGGGTTACAGAAAATTTAGAACAAGATCAGATAGGAGTGATAGAAGAAAGGACGAGGAGAAGGATAGTGGATAGATCAAGGCAACTGGAGATGTCGATTGACATTACACTTGAATAGCTGGAGATTATTGCTCACAGGGAAACAGGAATAGGGAAGTGAGTTCCACAGGCGAGAGGTGCGAGACATGAAGCTATTGGAGTAGAAGAGACGGCTACATTTAGGAGTTTCGACAGTGAAGGGGTGAGAGCGGGATGCCAGCCTCGTAGGGCGCTTGAACTCATGAAGTCTGGGAACCAGCGAATGCAGCTCCTCGGAGCAATTGCCATGAAAGTATTTGTAAAACAGACAGAGAGAGGCGATATATATAATAAATGCGAATGTGAGTGTGTCATTGTGTCACACTTTCCAACTTTACCCCTAGAGGCCGTAGTCTAACATATAATACCATTTTGGAATCAGGCCGACTCTGTGAGCAAATTAAAAAACAAAAAAAAAAAACATTCCGGATCGGATTCGAACCTGCAATATTGAAATTTTGGATTTTCAAATTTTCATAACTGTGATTGTTTTTGTCGTTAATTTAGTTGATTTATTTTGCGGCGAATATTTTGCTCGATAACAGTTTGAATAACTTGGAAATAAATTTGTGAATAATAGAAATTAATTGCGAAATCCAGCGAAATTTACCCATAAAATAAAAATAATATTTTGTACGGAAAGTAAGGACCTATGTACATCAAATTATCTTTAAATGACGTGGCGGCAGAAGAAATATCGTTGAACTTTTAAAAGACAAGCTTAAATATTAATAAAATACTTAAATGCATCAATCAATTTTGAGTTCTTCTATAGTTTATTGTTGCCTATCGCATCTACTGCCCCCTATCTATTCTGATGAAAGCCCAACCAAGAGCACTCCGCAGGAGCTAGCTTAAATGCTGTCCGATAGTATATATATATATATATATATATATATATATATATATATATATATATATATATATTAAACACCATCACTTGATAAGACAGCAGAAGTGTTAAAACAAAATGGCTATTTTTTGTAGTGATTTTTATAACAGATTTATGTTATAATTTTCGAATAAATTAAATTATGTTTCCTTTACTCTGTATTGAACACTCTTTTAAGAATAGTATTTTTGGTTAATGGAATTTATTCCTTATACATAATCAATCCAATCCTATATATTATATATATATATATATATATATATATATATATATATATATATATATATATATATAGTCGACTCTCCTGTCGATATTCGACGCATGAGTGTCAAGCAGATCAGTTTCCAGGAAACCGATAGCGACACATGAGATTTGATTATAGTGGTGAAGGCTTCGTGCAGGACCATCCACACTTTTTGAAGGGACGAATACAGAGACCTGGTGCACCGAATGCCACAAGATCCCCAAACGACCCTCCGCAGGTTTTGAATTCAGAGTTGTCCTTCTCCTAGACCAGTTGCCATCCAAGGCTATAGAACCCAGTCTATCCTGCTATTTTACCCATAGCTGGAGGGAGAAGAGGATTCATACCTTTCCCAAGGGTACGTAAGTGAATGTAATGGATTCGACTGGAATTCGAACTCGGCTCTGCGATTCATCAATTCAAGCCGCTATAAATTACTCCACCGTGCCTCCCTCCCTCTCTGAACACGTGAATAAGCCAAACTTTATAAAAGCCAACACGCGATACGCAATAGTAAAAAAATAAAGCGACGACATAGCAAACAAGAAAAGTTATTTTAAAATAGTTGGTGTTAGGCAAAAGTGCATAGACATTGGAAAATATATCTACAAATACGAAACATTATAAATATTGAAAAAGTAAATAGAAAAATTATAAAGAAGCAATTTTAATTAAAATTTAACCGTATCTGCAAAATGAAAACTCATGCATTTTATATATATATATATATATATATATATATATATATATATTCTGTTTATACGTTATTCTGGTAGATACAAATATGTACGTTCACGCAATTCCAAGCACAATCCATTCAGTAAAGTGTAACAACAATATCAACAAAATAATAAACGAAAAAATACGCAACAATACAAGATACACGAAAACCAAACACCTACAAATTACCCCAAATACACACTTTACAAAGCGCAAAATCACACAGAAACTAAAAATAAGAAAGCGAAAATAAAAAGCGAGAAAACAATATACAATATATACCAAGCGCACATTAAGTAAAGATGAATAATACAACCTACTGAAATGCATATACAGTTAACATCCAGAACGGCGCGAACATATAAAGACACACACACAAACACAAATACATAGTAAGACGTGCGCACACGAACACAAAAAGCATACACGTGTGGGTGAGTGTCTATATACATATTTGTATGTATATGTATATGCAAACATGTGCATACATAGGTATACGCACAAACACACGTCTGCACAAAGATACATAAACGCACTAAAATCTAACCATGAGCTTAAATTAAATGATCAAATCAATACACATTGAATAAAAAAAAAAAAAAAAGCAATAGGAATGATTAGCACTAAACGAGAGGTGAACGGAAAAGAGGAGGGAAGAAGAAAAAATAAATAAAAGGAATAAAAGAAAGCGAAGGAGAGGAAAAGAAGCCAACAAAAAGGTAACATGACACCTATCAAGGAAAAAAAAAAGGATAAATGATACAGTCACACCATAATATATAAATACAAATAGAATCAAGAAATATCAGCAGAATAGTCCAACTCCCGCTCTGAAGAGTAGTCACATATGACCACGAAACTTCAAGTCAGCATGACGAAAAATACTGTCAGGTTAAGTGAAGAAACTTTTCATATTAATTTTTTCTTTCTCTTTCTCCCGATATATATATATATATATATATATATATATATATATATATATATATGGTTGGTTCTTCTTTTTTCTTTTATTCTCAAAAAATTATTCTACTGAGTTTTTGATAAGCTAGACTTTTTTAGTGATGTTTTTTTATTAGCAAATAAATCTAATGCCAATAAAGCACATCCCTAAAGGAATAGAGTCTAGGTTATCCAGAAACTCTTCTCGTAAAATAATTTTTTTGAGGATAAAAAGAAAGAAGAACATAAAGATATAGAGTCAGAAAACCAAATTAGAATTTAAATCATGATGCAATCTTCATTCCTATCGCCATACTTCACCCCTATATATATATATATATATATATATATATATATATAAAAAGTTATTATATATATATATATATATATATATATATATATATATATATATATATATATATATATATATATATATATATATATATATATATATATATATATATATATATATATATATATAAATTATATATATATATATTTAAATTCTAGATCAATTCTCTGGACAAGACAAATTGGTATAAAATGACAATTGAAAAAAAATCTTCGATTTTGCCAACGCGTTTCGTCTTCCGACTTATTGCATTAACCAGAAAAAGCTTAGATAGAAGCGTCAATTTTTTGAAATTTGGATTTTTTTAATGTAACTATAAAAAAAAGACAGTTTCGATTTCATTTTCTCTTTGAAAAGTCGAAGACGAAACGCGTCGGCAAAATCTAGGATTTTTTCCAATTGTCATTTTATACCATATACATATATATATATATATATATATATATATATATATATATATATATATATATGTTGTTTGTGGTGTATGGAGATAGGGATCATCACTGTGTTGTGACTGTTTGTCTCAAACCTAAAGTAATGTTAACCCCCATGAAGAAATCGTCTTTTACCAGTTCACTTATTCCGCTAGTAGGCTATGCACAGAGTACGCGAAAGGCTGTAGAGACACGTGAACTCTGAGATCTTTTGATGTTAAATTACGTCTTATGTAATTGCTAAAATAAAAAAAAAATGTATAGAATTGCTATGGATTAAAGTCTAAGGTTTGAGTTTGAAATAGTGAAAGTTTGAATCGATAAAAGCGACTCGCTGGGATCAATCGATGGTACTATATAAGAATATGAGCGATATTAGTATCCAGTTATTCGTTCAAGATGGGTGTGTCTTATGGATTAAACTCAAGTCACCGCAATTATAAATTTGGATTGGATTATTTAGTGTGCAATGAAAGCAAAAAGCTAAATATGTGTTAGCTTATACGAGATCTGATCAAAAATATCGGGACAGGTTCTAAAAAAAAAACTACAAAGCATATCAATTTAACACTTAATCTCCTTTGAAGCAGTCCGCTTCTGAAGCCACACATTTTATCAAGTGTTGTTTCCATTAATGAAAAGCATTCCTGGAAATCCTTTTATTTTTTGGATAGTGACCTGCTGCCTCGCAGCATTCTCTTGGATTTCCAAGACGTTTGGAAATTTTGTTCCTTTCAAGTCGGATTTGATTTTTGGAACGAGAAAAAAATGTCTTCAAGTGACAAAATCCAGGGAATATGATGGTTGTCGGACCTGGGGAATGTTGTCCTTCGGCCCAAACTGCTGCACAAGATTCGGTGACTGGGTAGGTGCGCTGTCAAGGTGCAGGTGCCACACACCGGACGCATCCTTTTTTGTTCTTTTCCGACGATCAGCATCTCGTAGACACTTCAACCCGTCACAGTAGTACTCCTGTTTTACTGACCAAGTGAGGCATACTAGTGATGAACAATGCCTTTGTAGTCGAAGAAAACTGTCAATCGTATGTTAATAGCTGACGTGCATAAATATATTACACACGAATAAGAGACTTGAGACAATAGAGGCGTGGTTCTACAGGAGGATGCTGAGGATACCATGGATGGAGCATGTGAGCAACGAGGAAATTTTAAAGAAAATAGAAACAAACAGGGCACAAGTACAGAGAGGCTGTTCAAATATCTGGGACGTATAATTAGAAAGGAAGCCTTGAGAAGTTGGACTTACCGGACAATATAAGAAAAAGGCCCCTAGAAGAATTATCCGCATAAGAAGTGGACTCGAAGCCTTCAATACCTGCAAAAATAAAATAAAATGTCGGCTTGTAAATAAAATATTTGAAATACATTTCTTATAATGATTCGCGAAAGACGATATAAACCTAAGCAGTGCATGTAAGTAATTAGCAAATATAGATTTCCCTAAGTTAAACACTTGACAGTCGAATAATAAATAAAATGCATCAGATATCTGTTGTGTGTTTGTGTATATATATATATATATATATATATATATATATATATATATATATATAATTATTTATTCGAAAATTCTAACATAAATATGTTATAAAACCACTACAAAAAAGCCATTTTGTTTCAACACTTCTGGTGTCTTATCAAGTGATGGTGTTGACTATAGATGGTGTTGAACATATTTATGTTATACTTTTCGAATAAATAATTATATTTGCTCTACTCTGTATTCAACACTCTTTAAGAATAGAATTTGTTGGTCATTGGAATTTATTCCGTATACACCAACCATATACTTATATATATATATATATATATATATATATATATATATATATATATATATATATATATAACAGTGTGCTGCTTATATTCTATATCATAAAGAAAAAATATACAAAGAATTAATTAGCAAGTTAATGTGGTTGATGGCGAAATCTCTTCGCTAACAAGACTTAATGAGACATTATCTTACTATCATTTCCTTGAATAATAAGATGCTTACATTCGAGTTGTTGTCGCATGGAAGATACATGCCAAGTACTTTCAACAATTTCAAATTGTCATCTTCAGGGTGCAATTTTTTCCCGTATATTGGCAAGCATTAAGATGGAATAAGTATACTGCTCGATGTTTCTTTATTGGTTTCAGAATGACTGCAAAATACTTCCCCACCTGTTTATAGGCAGAAGCACACAAATGCATAATGTGATTTTTTTCTTAGCCAATAAAATAAGCCGGTTTGTGGTTTCTTTCTGACTCAGTCCCGATCTGTCTTGTCTTGAAGCTAGAATGCTGCGTTTGCTTGTCTGAATTTGCTTTTGTGCGTCAACACCAATTCTTAGTTTGTGAACTTTTTACCATATTACTGTTGCTTTGTGTTATTACTGTTAATTTGCCTTGCATATATTGTTTGATTGCTTTATATTATTTGTGGCTCTGTTCTTTTTCTTTTTTTTCTTGCTTATTGCAAACTTTGTTAATTCTGTTTGTTGGACAGTTCAATTATATTGCATTTGGCCATGGCTACTCAATCCACATTCCCTCTTCCTTTCAATATGCCCTGTGAGTATCACGTTCTCCAAGCCTACTTTCCTTAGATTTCCTGGGAATTTTTAATTGAGTTTCTGATTCTAAGTAGAAGCGTCCTATTTCTTCCGATTTTGCTTAAAACTTCCCCATTGTTTACATCTTTCATCCATGTTATTCTCAGTATATTTCTTTAGAGTCACATCTCTGTTGTCTGTTCTTCATATGCAAGTACGTTGGCTGTTCACTATAACATGACGCATATTTAACCTTTTCGATTGCATTGCATTCGAAATAATCCAGTCCAGATTTATACTTACTGTGGCTTGAGTTTACGCTTTAAGACTCACCCCGTCTTGCGAAAATAAATTGGATCTGTTGTCGCGTATAGTTAGTTATCCTCGATTGACACCAGCGATATTTTCATTTGATTCGCTTCCTCGTTGTCGCTTCAGCCTTCGAGTGTCCAAACGAAATGTGTTCCAACTGTATTACTGAAAAGAGCATTACATATTGAACAGTGTTCATGCTTTTGCACTGGGACAGTAGAGGATTGTACATGTTCATAGATTCCGGTAATTGATAAAGTTGATTGCTATCGAGAAAAAAGGTTTATGGTCGTGACAGAACCTTTCATTTTGAATTAGATCGCTTAATTAAAAACCTAACCGGCTGTCATATAAAGAAAACAATATTCTTAATGTCTTCGCGTTTATAAACGGAAGTTGTATCATCAGTATATCGAAATTGTGTTGATTGTTCAGGTAAAATAGTTTGAAAAGGATTAAACTCTAGAAATTATGGAAAAAGACAAAGAGGAGATCACGTTGGTTATCTAAATTTTTGATTATAAAAATCATTACCGAAAGTAAAATAACATCGGTTTGTGATGAGCCATTTTTTCTTTATAACTAGAATTTTTTTCAAAGCGCTGACGAGTGATGAAACCCTTACAGAATTTAGTATTGTTGAATTTATCGCCAACATTTTTATATCAAGATTTACAAACTCTACGTTTCGTTCAATTTTGCTAATCGATGAAATTTGAATCATGAGTTTAAGCGTGCTACTAAATTGGCGACTAGTTCTCATCGTTTCACAGTTTAATTAGCTATATGCAACCTCCACATGTACTCTTCCCAACTGTGGAACGCCCTTCCGATTTTCTGCTTCTTGTAAAATGTAAATGCAACGTCAGTTGCCATCTTCTATATTCCAGAACCCTGTTCCAATATTGTCCTTTCTTCAATAAAACCTTCTCATTCTCTTTCACTCACTGTAACATCCTGCGCCATAGTGGCATTATCGCGTTGTTCGGTGTGAAGCGATTAAAATAACTCCAGATGTGATGGATCGGTACCTGTTTATATTTCTGAGATTATGTATTATGTACACTATTTACATTATTCGGACTATTGTCATCATCTTTGTCGCCATATTTATCCGATCCTTCAGTATCTGTCTATATTTCTGAGATGATGTATTATGTACACTATTTACATTATTTGGACGATTGTCCTCATCTTTGTCGCCATATTTATTACAAAGTTTCAGCCGATGTACGCTCCGGGCTTCTTCAGGTGGTTGGATGTCGAACTGAACCCTTTATTTCTCTCGCTGGGGTAGACTGCTCTAGTTCCACGTGTCATGTTTAATGTCAGTTATCAGTTATCTCCTGTTAATTCCCCCTCTCCATGTTCTCCACTGCCTTAACTGGGTATTGAACTCACACTCTTAGGGTCCTGTCACTGGATCTAACCAAGGCCTATATCCACTGTGCCAGGTGTACGCTCTCCCTGAGGACACAAAGCACACCCAGTGAGGATCGAACTCCTTATTCAGTCATAATTGATCTAACGAGACAAGCTTGCTAACTATTACATCACGTAAAGTGTCCTATGATTTTCCAAGCGTAACTTAGGTGTGGTAGAATGCTGAAAGTGTCGCGCACTCATTGATGATCGAACTCACTAATCAGTCGTAATTGATCTAGCAAGGCAAGCTTGCAATCCATTGCACTACGTTGAAGTGTCACAAATGTACGAATTTATATATTGTCAATTATTTCTTCAAATACTATGGAAACAAAAAAATTATGAGCGTGTTCGTATCTATCTAAAATACGAATGGGTACTGAATATTTTCTGCTTTCCAAAATCTCATCAAATAACTCTCGTATGTATTCGGGTTTAGTTCGAGTTTTATGATTTATTTTTTTTTTATTTTAGGCAAGACATAGGTTGTCACTCTATGCAAATTTAATTTTGTTGAAGAGGCTAAAAATCATGCATTTTTGGTGATCGGTTGCATTATACACAGTTAATATTTTTTTTCTGCAGGGGTCAAAAGTCATGCAAAAAAAAATTCACAGGTCGCACGATACACAAAGTCAGCTTATACACGACTATATACAGTAAGTATCAGAATTTATTTTGGAAGGGTTTCTTGGCCGGTTGGTCCGTAAACATCTTAGTACCTAAGCATTTACAAATTATTTTGTGCGAAAACCGATGGGGAAAAAAAACACACACACACACACACACACACACACACACACACACACACACACACACACACACACACAACAACAAAAAAAACCAAAAAAAAAAACCAAACTAAAACTATTGCACTTTTAAGTGGATATATATTGGTTAGGGACTCTTAGAGCAGCGGAAAGTAAGAAGTTGGGGAGAGTTATGATTGCCTACGTCCTGCAAGTGAGAAAATTACGGCTGTGGCTCTCAGTCAGTATTTTATTGATTGGGCAGCTTCAACGCACGATGTGTTTCGATTCCCATCTGTGTCGACATGAACAAAATGTGTGAAAAGTAAAGGCCCGGCTTACGTTCAACAAAAGAAACGGAAGGGGAAATGACACCACCTCAAGAAAGGCAAAAAAAAAAAAAATTCTGTTTTCAATATATTGAGTTCTTTATTCATGGATTCACCTGGGAAGTTCAGAGTTGTCAGCAAATGACATTTGAAATATCTTCGCTACTACTTCTGGTTTCTCTCTCGGTCGGTTAACGTTTGCGTTTCTGTCCATCTTTGACTCCAACTCCCTCTACATCTTGAAAGACGGCTCTTGGCTGGCCACTCCTACCATCCCTCTCCCCTCTTTACCTCACAACGTATCTTGTCCCCCACCCCCGCTAACGTGCCGTTTCTGATCGATGATTCTAGAATGTGGTCTATGTAGGCATATGACCGGAATTCTTTACCTTCCGACCGAGTAGGCATTTGATCCCGAAAGTTTTCATTTTTTTTAAATTTATTTACTTTAGTTCTTTGTTTCTTCCTTTGTGGACAGCAATTGATTCCGTTGAAGTCTTTACATCTCGAGTTTACTCGCAATCATAAAACACAACTTACTTCAAGCTCAGATAAAATCTTTTGCATCTCATTTGACTTCGTGGAGGCCCTAACGGGAATCCATTGTGTTATAAAAACAAATTGGCGGATAAAAGCATACCGCATAAAAACAAACAGAATAATTAGCGTAAGAAAGAAGCAGAAAGTCAGCTGCAAGTTGTTTTAAAAATAATTACCTCGATTGTCACAAAGGTCACGAGAATGTCAAATCAGAAATAAAATAAAAACATAGTGGTATTAAAATGAGGCTGATGAACTTAATGTTAAAGTGAAAACTGTTAACTGACCTTCACTTCGCGGTATTGGACTGTAAACCAAATGAGAAGCGGAATGCAGCACATAATTAAACCGGCGATGCCAAGCAGAATACTTCGTTGGATCCAGTTGAGCGCTAAGATACACGGTCGTCCGTCTTCACAAGTCTCGCATCCGGGTGCGCATGGCAAACAAGCAAATCCCGAATCGTAGGTGTTCGGTTCTTTCTGAATGAAACAAAAACGCAGGATCAACATTCCTTTATCAGTAACTGCAATAAATATCAGTTGAATCAGTTGCAACAGCTTTAAAGCCTACAGTGCAAAATATATATTTAATTGAAATCATGGATAGATATTCAGTTCAGTAAACAATCCCAGCTTTGAAAATTAGCATTGGAAATCCTGGTTTTTAATTATTCCCAAACACTTACCAAACACCTGTGGGAATAATTAACTGAATGGGAAAATTAGCATTAGGAAGACATGAAGAAAGTATGTAATCCGTATAGAAAGTTGTAACTTAGTTAAACATAGTGAAATAAGTTGTTTTTTTTTAATAACGATTTCAGATAATACTTACCTCATTATGCTGAAATGGGATGTTTTCAAAGGGTATCTGGCACTTTTAATTTGAAATTCTTTTATGAAGTATGTTTTCTATTCGGATTTGTGTTATTTTAATGTGTAAATTTTTCAGTTTATATTTCTTCTGCATACATTGACCAGTGAACTGGCCATCTTTCTCTACTTTTAATCTTCTCCCATTCATTTGGCTTTTTGGCACCGGAGGGTGGATTGGCTTTGGGGAACCGGGGATGGTTTGGCTTTTGGTTAACGGGGTGGGTTGGCTTTTGTGAACCGGGGTGGCTTGGCTTTTGGGCACTGGGAGTGAGTTGGCTTTTGGGCTCCGGTGGTTGATTGGCTTTTCGTCAACGGAATGTGGGTTGGCTTTTGGGCACCGGGATGGTTTGGCTTTTGGTTAACAGGGTGGGTTGGCTTTTGGGCACTGGACATTGGTTGACTTTTGGTTAACGGGGTGGGTTGGCTTTTGGGCACCGGACCTTGGTTGACTTTTGGTTACCGGGGTGGGTTGGCTTTTGTGCACTAGGAGTGAGTTGGCTTTTTGGCACCGGAGGGTGGGTTGGCTTTAGTGAACCGGGGATGGTTTGGCTTTTGGTTAACGGGGTGGGTTGGCTTTTGGGCATTGGACATTGGTTGACTTTTGGTTACCGGGGTGGATTGGCTTTTGTGCACTGGGGGTGGTTTGGCTTTTGGGCACTGGACATTGGTTGACTTTTGGTTACCGGGGGTGGTTGGCTTTTTGTGCACTGGGGTGGTTTGGCTTTGGGCACTGGACATTGGTTGACTTTTGTTACCGGGGTGGGTTGGCTTTTTGCACTGGGGTGGTTTGGCTTTTGGGCACTGGACATTGGTTGACTTTTGGTTACCGGGGTGGGTTGGCTTTTGTGCACTGGGGGTGGTTTGGCTTTTGGGCACTGGACATTGGTTGAGTTTTGGTTACCGGAGTGGGTTGGCTTTTGTGCACTGGGAGTGAGTTGGCTTTTGGGCTCCGGTGGTTGATTGGCTCAACGGAATGTGGGTTGGATTTTGTGCACCAGGGATGGGTTGGCTTATGGGCATCGGGATAGGTTGGCTTCTGGGCACCGGGATAGGTTGGCATCTGGGCACCAGGGTGGGTTGGCGTTTGTACACTGGGGGTGGTTTGGCTTTTGGTCACAAGGGGTGGGTGGGCTTTTGGGCACAATGGGTGAGTTGGCTTCTGGGCACCAGGGTGGGCAGGCTTTTGTGCACTGAGGGTGGGTTGGCTTTTGGTCACGAGGTGTGGGTTGGCTTTTGGGTACCGGGGTCGGGCCGGGTTTTGTTTCCACAACCTACGTAAGTGTCAGGGAAGGTTTTGTTTTTTTTTTTTGACAAAATATACATCGTAAAACAATTTAAAACTAAAAGTGCCCGATACCTTTGACAACATTTCAGGGTGAGTTAAGTCTTAGCTGAAAAAGATTATCCAGAAAAAAAGTTCCCCCCACAAAAAAAGGAAAAAATGTATGCAAAAATACGAAACACTTAAAAAAGAAAATTTAAAAAAAATCTTATTTTTGAGAAACCGGTAAAGTTAAAAATTAAATTAATGAAACCAAACAGCACAAAGAATGCGTTAAAATGTAGAGAAAAGCGAAACTCCACAATAATTTCATACAATAAAACCATTCACATGGAATAAAATTGTCCCGGTTTCAAAAAACACATTGAATCCCATTTTAACAGTGATTACACGAAAGTAAAGAAGACCACAGAAAAAGAACATATATCATCTAACTACTACAAAGTTCGTCCTCAAACATAAACAATAATGAACCCTGTGATGAGACGTTAAAAAAAAGGATAATAATGCATCACTAGACATTGAAGCTAAACTTTTGAAAATAGCTTACTTTCTCCGTGAATTCAATAAGTTCCTCTATATTATGAAAGAAGCCTAGAATCAGAAATGCACTCTTAAAAATTGGGTTCTATCACGCATCAATGCACTGTAGAAACAGAAATGTCCCGTACACATAGAGAGGGATCTCAATTGTATGCATCATGGGGAAAGTATTAATGTGCATTATATTTACTAGGCTCTTATCGTTTTCTGAAAGTCAATTCCTCACAACTATGTTTGGTTTTCGTTCTGGTAAAGGATGCAACGATGGCATATACGTTATCAAACAACGCCATGAAATTGCTTACTAATTCTAATAGGAAACTGTATCCTTCTTTTGTCGACCTCACAGCAGAATACATTCACATCAGTAGAGACTTCCTTTTCCCATGCATTAGAAAACTCCTTCCAAGATCCGAATCCACTGAACGCATAGAAATAATAGAAGAACAGTATTGATCTACAAAATCTTAGATATCTGGCGAAGACCCCACTACGGAAAAAAATCAAACCTGCACATATCCTAGCATGCCCATCTGCTGAAGCTAGTGTTTCTTCAGCATGCACAGAGCCAACCTGTGGTTTGTATTGAAACTAAGATGGCCGTTATGGTGTAGTAGATAACGGCTCGGAATGAAAAATTGGAGGACAGAGTTCGAATTCTACTAGGGCACGTCACATTCATTTACTCGCAAATACCATTGGGAAAGTTATGAATCCATCTCTTTTCCCCAGCAGCTATGGGTTGAACAGCAGGGTGTTATAGCCTTGGGCGGCAACCAGTCTACCGCAGAAAGAAACGGCAACCTACCGCAGGAAAACCTTCCGCCTTGTCAGTCATCAGTTGAAAGAGACATGATCGTCTAAGCGTGTATCACCTATGGAACTTGAGTGATGCTGAGCAGACTTTAGTTACAGTTCAAGGGCCACATAGAGTTTTGAATTTAGAGTTATCTTTCTCCTATACTAGTTGCCAATCACGGCTAGGGAGTCCACTTTGCCCTGTTATTTAACCCATAATTAAAAATATATGTATTCATTAGTGCGAAAATTTATTTTTTGTAATCTAGGGAAGGTTATTGAATAGAATAATCACACATACGTTGGTAATGAACGATAATACTTACGACAAGAACAACACATATAAGATTCGCCAGTGACGCGCAGAAGAAGTAGTCAACTGCTAGAAATGAGTCAAATGAATTCCACAATGAATCAACTGCAGGATATCTACCAACCGCCCCACGCGGTCAAATGGGGTACAAAGCCGAATTTAATGTGGGTCATCCGAGCACGTAGGCTCGGCCAATATTTCCCCATATAAAACGGGGTCGGGTAGCTGTTTCTCCAGACGAGACTCTGCGTTGGACATAGCCACGTCTGGAGATCTTCTTTGCCTTCAGGTAGAGAGCCCGACCAGCACAACTGGAGACAAATATCGAACTGCAGGATATCTAGCAACCGCCCCACGCGGTCATATGTGGCACAAGGCTGAATTTAATGTCGAGTATCCAAGCCCGTAGGCTCGGCCAAAAATTCCCCGTAGACCCCCGTATAAAACGGGGTTGGGTAGCTGTTTTCGACACAGCCTCATCTGGGGATCCTCTCTGCCAGGAGGTAGAGAGTTTGACCAACACGAATCTCCAACTGTAGACCAATAAACAGTATTTATGTGAATACACATTATCATCCGTAGGCAAGCTACAACATTAATGTAACGATCTTTTTTTTAATGAGTTCACTCCGAGCAAGGCGATAATGACACTAAGATGTAAGGGGCTACTGGGAGTAAAAGAGAATGAAAAGATTTTAAAAGGAACCAGAAACCCAATTCTAAACAGTAAACAAGGGATAAACCTCTACTTCTCGACTGGAATTCAAACTCAACCGATTTCTCTATGATTTAGGACAAAAATTTGACATTTAACATAAGTATAAAATATTGCGGCCCGTGTAGCATACTTTTGAATACTCTGATTTAAGTGAAGCACCAACAAACAAATAAAACAAATAAAAACACATAGCGTCTGCTAATAGCTAAGTCGTCATGAATATTCTTCTGCCATTGCAGATGAGAGATTTTTTTCCTTCTGTGATTTTAGCGAAGCGAGCAAAAGCGAAATTAAAAGCGTAATTCTGTATTCTTCAGCAGGTTATAGTTGAATCAAGTTAAGACAAAGAAAAGAAAAAGGAAAAGAAACAAAAACAAAAAAAATCAAAAATTTTAAATGAAAAACAAAACAAAACAAAAAACCTCTCACACTGCTTTCTAACCCCTAAATGTTTTTTTCTGGTTTTCTGCTGTGCTCAAACTTTATCCAATTGATTTATTATTAGGGTTTCAAGGTTGACCTCGATTAAATAAATTCAACTCTCTTCTTTAACTTGAAATCATCGTTAATGATTTCATTTGAGAAAGGCTTTAAATTCGTTTTCTTATTAAAGCGAACAGCTCGAGGACAGAGTTAAGTCATCAACTGACGATAAAGGAATACAATCCACCCGTTTATTCAGAAGCAGCAAATTTAATGCCTGATTTTAATCGTGTAAGTTCTTTGTTCAAATGAGAAATTCGCATAGTCCTTAAGTTTAAGGAGAACTTTTCATCAAATGTCCATTAACAAAAAGAAAGATAAACTCTAAATGCAGCTGATTAGTTCAAAGATTTCATCAGATTGATCTGATAATATCTTTTATTCATATACTCACAGCATCATTATACAGTTATAAACTTATTTCACTTCGATTTCGAAAGACTTTACACAATTATTCAGTGTGTGTCATCATAAAAGATTCCTGTTCTCATGCGATAAGTTTATTTTTCCTGGCAATTTTTCGATATCGAGAACTTGGCGATTCTTCTGAACAGGTGAGTTTTATGCAGCGAAACAAGGTGACAGAGTGAAAATAAATACACCGCACTTGGAAGAAAAAAGAACCCCCAGCTCCGTTATAATTTGCTGTGTCGCGTTTGCAACTTGAAAACGACTGGTGTCATGAATTTAAACGGGGGTTCTTAACTTTTTTCTTCACCAGGGTTCCTTTTCAGATAATTTTTTTTTCTGGCGTCCATCCCGCTATATTAAAACTGCACTGGTAAATGGAGTAGAATTAATGCTACTCAGTTAATGTCACATGTTTTACGTTTTGCTGCGTTATAACAGCTACGGATACCAGAAGTAAACTGAGAGGGACATCTAAGCGGCGGTCATTAACCATACCGGATTATTGAAGCTGCCAAACCGTGACATTTAGGTTTTTACTTCATACGCATAGAATAATTTCTTCAAAGTTTTAGAAATATGTCGAAAATATAAATGGCCTAGACTGAGGATAAATCTGCCTCCTAGCAGCTTACAAGCATATGGTACCGTTTCCCCTTCGGAATATATTTTTGCCAGATATAAAAAAAAAAAAGCTCCAGCTCGCCGTCCTCAATTTGGGAAATCCCAAGACTCGCTGTTTCCCGTTTATGGATTATGTCGTCGCCTGGGACATAGACGAATTAGGTCCGATTGAATCTGGAGTCCTAAACCTAACCGTTTGAATCTGGAGTCCTAAATATAGCCTCTCCATATAAGAACCTTCCTTTATGTTTCTCCTTACACTTTGCTATATATATATATATATATATATATATAAAATTCGCTGGGCAAACTTTATAACTGAATGCCTCAAGCCCAGATCGAAAGCCAACCGATTTTACCACTGAGCCATCTTTACTCAACAGAACGAGTCAGCTAAATCTAGCATATTGTTTTTACAAATGTAAACAAACTCCAATCAGCCATAGGGCTCCATTCATTTTACTGAAGAGCTTTGCATTTACGTAGTTGGTCGTTGTTTTTAGAATTAGCTTGTCGTTCAACAGTGTTCAATTGAAAATATATTTTCAAGAGCTGAATTATGTAATTCGCAACATAGTTTGTGTATATCTTAGTGAAATAAAAATGTCCCTGAGAACAAAGCAAGTTTGTAGTTTCTTGTTCCTTTTCAGTCATTTCGTTCTGTTCTGCCCTTTTTCAATGTTTCTTTAAATGAATCAATTAAAAGCTTAAAATGTTAACTTGTTTGTTGATAAACTACATTTTCTAATTAAATGTGAATATTTTGCAAATATATTTCCATTAAAGTAACAGTATTTTATAATTTTTTTAAAACCTTTTGTATCTGGTCTTAAGATTTTTCTCAGGAGTATATATATATATATATATATATATATATATATATATATAAATATAAATGCAGACATGAAAACAAATTTTTACTATGTTACTTAAAAATCGAAAACGGAAAAAATAAAATAAAATAAAAATAAATAAATAAATAAACAAAATAACAATAAAAGAAGCAAAATTAATTAACCCAAACAAATTACCTAATCACACCTGTTAAAATAGACGAAATAGAAAAAAAAACAAAACCAAAAAAAAAAAAAAACAAAACCAATGAACCCAAATAAAGTAAATAATAAACAAATTAGCAAACCATTATGACCAAAATATTAGTTAGACTATAAAAATCAAACCAAAAATTGGACGAAAAACATAGCTATCACTGGTATATAACGATAAAAAATACTACGTTACTTAAAAATCGAAAACCGAAAAGAGAAAATATACAGTATAACAAATAAATAAGTAAAATAAATTGACCTAAATTCATCCAAATAAATAAATAAACTAACAAACCGATCCCGATAAACTAACCTTTAGAAAAATCAAATAAAGATAAACAATCCAAATAAATACATGAAGAAATAAACAAATTAAAAACTGTTCCCGCCAAAATAATAGTTAGAATAAACTACAACAATCAACCTAAAAATTGAATAAATAGCTTTAATTATCTTCCCAAACCAAAACAAAACTATTAAATAAGCGATATAAACAAATTTTTATTACGTTAAGAAAAATACCGATTAAAAAAATAAAAATAAATAAATATATAAGATAAGAAAAAAAAAAAAGAAAAACAAGCAAAATAATTTAACCCAAGTAAATAAATAAACAAATAATCGACATACGGTAAAATAACCGCCAAAATAGACTACACACAATGCACCACTGACCCGTATATATATAAATAGCCGAGCAAAATAACAGCACTCGTGGGCTGACGATTGCATCTAGCATGAAACAGACTGTCGCCTCGAAGTGTTGACTTCTATGTTCACTTTTATATTTACACACGCTCTATCTCTGATATTGAGCACTTTATCCCATAAATATAGCACATCTTAAGATTATATATATATATATATATATATAT